ATAGTGGTGAGAGATATAGGTTTGGAGGGAAGAAGATGATTTCGTTTTGGACATGGTGAGTTAGAAGTGCATTTTATAAATTTCTGGTGAAGATGCCCAGTAGGCAGCCATGAGTATGAAGCTCTGGGGATGGGAGTCTAAATCAAAGAAATATTTGGGGGAGTCAGGAGCAACAGATGGATGTAGCTAAAAAGTGAAAGTGAATGAGATCACCCAAGGAGAATGTGGAGAGGGAACAGAGAATCTCTGGAAGGAAAGGCAGAGAAGGAGAGCCCCTGAAAAGGAAGACAAGGAGTCAGAAAAATAAGAGAACAAGGAGTGTTTAGTTTCATAGACACAGTTTCAATAAAATAATAGGGAAAGTAAGTAGATTAGATGTTTGAGGCATAAAGTCAGAGAGGAAGAAGAGGAGACAAGACAACTAGAATAAACCACTCTTTAGAAAAGTTTTGGTCTAATGGAGAAAAGAGAGAGTGGATAGCTGCTAGAGGAATATGTGCCATAAAGAGAGGTTTGGAGCTTTGTTGTTCTTCTGGTGTTTTGAGGTTGGGAGAGACTTAACCACCTTTATAGACCGAGGGAAGGAGCCAGAAGAGTTTGAATGCGTAGGAGAGAGGTAAAGAAAAGGCAGATATATCAGGGACCCAGAGGGGAGGGAAGTGGATGGGATTGGTGCCCAGATGGAGGAATTACAGACAGAAAGATGGCAACTGATTTTCATTGTTGAATCATGAAGGCTCTTTTTCTTCAGTCTCAGAGGTACTGGTGAGAGTCCCAAGGAGTATCTGACTTTATTTTCTCTGGAAAAAATCATTTTGTCAGCAGGTTGAATTTTCAGAAGTGACCAAAAAGGTAGACATGTTAAATACAAAGATGTTTTAGGGGAGTTAAAAAAAAATCTTTATACTGAAAACCAGAGTAAGATCAAAAAATACCCTTACTTGACGGATGTGTTAACTAACCTTATGTCGGTAATCATTCACCAACATATGTGTATCAAATCGTCAGGGTATACACAATGTTATTTGTCAGTTATATCTCAGTAAAGCTGAGGAGAGGAAAGAAACTAGATTAGTAATTGCCTAGAACTGGGGTCAAGGAGGAGATGAGAAAATTAGGGAGTGATAGTTAAAGGATATGGGATTTCTTTTTGAAGTGATGAAAATATTCTAAAATTGATTATGGGGATGGTTACAAACTGTGAATATACTAAAAACCATTGAATGTATACTTTAAATGAGTGAATTATATGGTGTGTAAATTACATGCTATGTAATTTATATCTCAATAAAGCTGTGCCTCCTCCAATCCCCCAAAAAGCAATACCCTTGCTGAGTTAGAAGATACATACGTTTAGCTTTTAGTTCTCAGAATTTTGTAACTCCAGCGTTCTAATACATTTGAACTAAAGTGCAAAATTAGTTCAATTTTTATAGTAAGAATTCATAGAGTTTTCATAGACTTATCCATCCGGGAAAGTGGAGGGGGTAGGGAGCTGCTTAAAGAAAAGATTCAGAGGGATCGTATTGTTTGGTTAGATAAGATTCAGAGTTAAAATACACAGGTTAGAGGGAAATTACTCAAGGCAGAGTGATTGCTTTTAGTCTCGATAATCACAACATTTATAAAAAGTTTTGTATAAACAGCCCTCACTATATTGGCTTATTTAATCTTTATAAAAAGTCTTTAACAGAGGAAGGACAGATTTTTATCTCTAAAAATAATACCACTAAATTATTGGGCACCATTTGAAATTATAGTAAACAAAAAATAATAATAAAAAGCATTATATTCTTATAATAGTCTTCATATTTGTACCTTACATTTCTGGCTACTGTGTTTAAAGATGATAGAATTGGAGAAAATCCAAAAATTTTCAGTTCGATTCAATGAGTATTATTTTAGTGCTGAATCTGCCATTGACTGTCTTAAGGGATCCTGCAGACTGTGACCCACTACCGACCCTCAATGAGCTCATAATGTAGAAGGAGAGAAAGATTATGAATAAGTGGTTGTAATGCTGTGGGATAAAAGTAGCAATAAAAGTCTGCAGTGTACAGTAGTTGCAGAGAAAGGGATCAGGAACAGTTTCTCAAAGAATGGGACAAGTGAACTACACTCTAAACAATAATAGGATTTTATCAGGTGGACAAAGGGATGGACCTGAGATATTTGAGAGAGAAGGAAGTACTCATACAATGCTCAGAGCTATGGAATATCATGGTGTGTTCGGTGTTTGTGGAGCATAATTGTAAGTGGCTGAAAACAAGGCAAAAGTCTTGCAGAGACTAATGAATTCATCAACAACACAAATTAAATTTGCATTTTTTGCCTGTACTCTGGAGGTATATCACCTAACAGGTTCCTGCAAGACTTCTAGACAGGTGATAGAGGACTGAATCAAAGAGAAGACTATTGGGGATGGAAAGCAGTCAGATATGAGAGAGATATAAGGTATATGGGATAAAACACATTGAATTGGGTGCCTGATTCAGAAGTTGTTCAAAGAAATAGAGCTGGAGGAACTGCTTTGTGAAGAAAAGTTAAACTATACTAGATATTTCAGTCTAGAGAGATAAAGGCTAGGGAAGAATTAGATAAAATTCCCATTTCAGAGTCTGTAAGTTGAATAATGACAATCAGAATTAAAAGTCACCCCCTTTCCATATGGAAAAGGTAAATATGGGACCAATAAGAGAAATTAGTACTTCATAAAGCAGGCATTAAATTTATGGAAACTTAGGTCCTCATTCCCCCCAAATATGAATGTATTTGACATAAGTTTAGTGAATTATAGAAAAATAAGCTTACATTGTTACTGAAAAATCAGGCTGTTATGATTATGTACCTGATATTTTATTACCTGATTCTTCAGTAGGTGGGGCATAGTTTTGATCCAAAATAAAAGTATTTGTAATAAATTAACATCCTAAAAAGTGATTATAGAAGCAATTAAAAACTGTAATCATTCCTAGAGTTCGATGTTCTTGAACAGTGGTTCTCAAACATTTTAGTCTCATTCTTTATAGTCTTAAAATGTATTGAGGACCCCAAAAAGCTTTTATTTATGTAGGTTTAATCGATTGATACTATTAGAAATTAAAACCGAGAAATTTTTAAAATATTGTTTAATTAATTTAAAAATGGAAACAATTTTAAATGTTAATATGTAATGACCCATTACATATTAATATAACACATTTAATGAAACATAGCTATTTGCCAAAGCAAAAAAATTTTAGAAGAGTGGCGTTCTTTTGCATTTGTGCAAATCTCTTTAATTAGCTTAATAGGAGACCACCTGGATTCTCATACCTATCTGCTATTTTACTGAGTCTGTTGTGGTATCACCTATCTTGTAGCTTCTGTAAAACACTGTACACCCAAGAGAAATGAGAATGAAAATACAAATGATGGTGATTTTGAGAATAGTTTTGACATTGTGGATCCACTGATAACAGCAGTTTGAGAACCTCTTTTTTTCTCGAGGAAGGAGAAATTTTTTGTTATATATACAAAAAAAAAAATTACTTTATCCCCACTCCAACCATTTTGGAGTTAGATGCTTTTAAGAATATTTTCACCATTATTCACTGGCTTTGTCTTATACCTCTAAAGGGCTGTGATCCATTTACAATCTAATGAAATCAAGTCCAAGGCAGAATTTGTTAGTCTTCTGTGACCTTTAATCCTTTTCAGTCTAATGAAGCATTAGTCATCTAGATCACATTCCCTCTATTTTTCTTCGTAACTTCTCACTTTATTGATAAACTGTAAAGGCATATATATTTTTTGAACTGCAATATGAGGACAGGGGAGTAAGACCTTAACTGGGGCACTTTCTTTATATCCTGGAACACGTGGTAGAGGAAAGGAAAACCACACTATTACCTGAAGTCTGAACTCTGTCAAATGTAAAGCCATGGACCCTGGAGGCCTGCCTAGAATGGTAAAGAATTATCTGTAGGAAATATCAACACTTCAAGGTTTATCTTTACTTTGGAAATACACGAGTCTAAAAATAGTCTCTTGAATCTCTCCACCTTTTGTTCTTCAGACACACCATTTATCTTCTCTCTCTCCTTTTTCATTCTGCTCCATCAATAACAACTTCATTTGATTCCACAGAGTGACATATGTGTCCAATAAGAATCAAGTCTTTGTTTTCATTAAGGTATCTGTAGAATCTTGCCATTCTCACTGCCACCACCCAGTTCTGTCATTTCTGTTTAAACAACCTGTTGGTCTTTTGAGTTGAGGCTCTTCTTTTCTCACTCCATCCTATGTAACAGTGCCTGATTAATTTTTCCCAGACACTGCTATTATGACACTTCTTTGCTCAAAATTTTTCAGTGATGTCTAAATTTGTACCACAGTACAAATACGCTTTATCTTTACTCTCCTTCCACTTTCCCACGAACCCTTAATCTGAAATATTCTACAATAGTTAGTCCTGGCTTTTTCTTTACAATCCTGTTAATACAAGACGTACATTTCTTCTGTGTTTGCCTTCACGTTATTTTTTTCATGTTATTCCTATTTCCCCTCTCCATTTAAACCCAATGTATTCTTCAAAGCTCTACTCAAAACCAATCTTTATAAATGGTTTTTACCTGTCGAATCTGTCTGTATTAATTTCCCTCTTCTCTGAAATAGAATAGATCTGAAGTTTGTACCACACAGTTTGGTATGTAATTACATACCATTCTTAATTGTTTTTGTTTCAATTATGTTAATTTTTTTCTCAAAACAGGTTGTAAGTTTCTTGAAATTTAGAATTTCATCCTGGGAAAGACCACATCCCTTGAGCTCAGCAGCTGCCCTATGATTTTTTTTCCAAAATTATTCTTTAAATTACAATTGTGCGAGTTAACTTGGATTGGTTTAATGTCTGGGCAGAAGTTCCAAATCTGTTAAATAATATCTAGCATAATGTTATTTCCAAGTATAGTATAATAGTGCTTGTACTTATTCTGAATTTGTCAAACTTTATCTTATAGCTATTTCTGCATTTGAAGTTCAGCCAATTTCTACTGAGGTCCAGGAAGGTGGAATTGCTCGATTTGCATGCAAGATTTCATCGAACCCTCCTGCAATCATAACGTGGGAATTAAATCGAACAACTGTACCTTTAACTATGGACAGGTAAATGCAGCTTTTGTCTTTGGAGATGATGCAGGAGTAATGAAGACTTCATCGTGAGACTGTACGAGGGAAAGATCATTACAAAGCTCATTTTCATTTATAGTAGCAATAATTAACTTAAACACTTTTCAAACTTAGGCAAAGAATTAGAGCATTAGTCTTTGGCACACGGGGCATAATTCCTGTTTTTTCGTTCAGATCAGAATTCAGACAACCTATCTTACTGCTTTGTTCCTTTCCTCAAGTATCTTTTCCAGCCATAGAACCACTTGAGTACATGGATTGCAGCCCAAGGATTTGGGAAACCAAAGTACACCTTCACTGCTGGCAATAGCAGTGCTGGTGTAAGGGTCTCCCATGTATGCCCTGGTAACTGCCCACTTCTGTCTCTGTCTTCCACTTCCCAATCTCCTCTCCACTATACACACATACACACACATCCCTAAGGCTCTGAAGGTGATTAAGGTTTAAGGATCAAGAACCTGGTAGTAACTTCAAAGGGTTTGATTCTTGTCATAATGAGTAGCAGTATTCCTAAGAAGACGAACATCATTTGCTAAAATGGTAGGACACTAGTTGAAAGAAGTTATTCAAGGAAGTGCTTTAAAAAAAACCCTTACATTCAAGTGTATCTTGGGGAATACATCTGTATTAACAGGCAAAAAATTGTGAATTTGAAGAAAATCATAGTAAGCTCTAGGCCACCAGTTAGCTATATCTAAGCTACAATGTCGAATGAGACTGTGTAAAATTAGACTGATAGAATTCACAAACCACACACTGTGTAATTATTTATGCTTTAAAGAGCTGTAGTGACTCAAATGAACACAAATTGAATCAAACTAATACTTTAAAAGATCTTTAATGTATTGCATTTGGCTCTTTAAAAAGGTTAAGTATATTAAATCTTATAGAATATATGTTAAAATATAAAATCTGCTATAAAATGTTTAATCATCTTTCTTATAACAGGATAACTGTCCTACCAACAGGAGTACTACAGATCTATGATGTTGGTCAAAGGGATGCTGGAAATTACCGTTGTGTGGCTGCTACTGTAGCCCACAGACGCAGAAGTATGGAGGCTTCTCTGACAGTGATTCCAGGTACTACATAGAATTTGTTTCGTCAGTTTTTATTGGCCCAGCTATCAATTTTTCTTCTTTGGCTATAATGGCATGCCATAAAGTAGTACTTTAATTTTATTTAAATTATTGTAATCTATTTGGAAAGTGTAATCTTAATACATTTTGATGTATTAAGCAATTCTTCTTTCACAGGCTAATTTGTTTTATGTTATGTTAGTGTCAACATTTTTGAGACTGATTTTTTTGGATAAATATTTCATTTTTGTTTTTAAAAAATAAAAAAGTGCAAAAAAGTACAAAAAAGACAATGATAATCATGCATTTCTACCAGAATTGTCCATTGTCAATAAAGAGATATTTGTTTCCATTTTCGTGTTTTTTTGTTTGTTGTTTTAAGACAAGCATAGTTTGCATTTGTAAAAGTAATGCATACTTATTATAAAGATTAGTGTCTACAAAAGTAAAAAATACATAAAATTTTTACATTAAACAGTGTAAAAAAGCACAAAGATATGTTTTAAAATATTCCCAATTCCAATACCCAAAAATTATTATTGCTAACATTAAGCGAACAATTTTATATATTTTGCTATACATGAATATATTTAGAAGGAACAAGCTAGAGAAATGAATATAAAGAAAGAAATACATGTTTTATTACATGGAAGTATACATAGATACTAGTTTTTATTTAAAAATAATTAATTTAAACTTACCTGAATATAGTGGAAGAAAACTTGGACTAAAAACATTGTTAAACTTCACATAAATGTTTACATTTTACAAGAGAGATTACTTTCCCCAAATCCTTTAAGGTTAAAAAGTTTTTTGAAAAAAATAAAGAGACTAAAATTATATTTTTGATGCTACGTTTTAATTTTAGGTAATATCAATTAGTTTTTTGGTATAGATAAAAAAAAAAAAAAAAAAGCACTCTTATACTTCTTCCCTTCTCCGTGCCATCACATGAATTCTTGACAAGATAAATAAAGAGACTAAAATTATATTTTTGATGCTACGTTTTAATTTTAGGTAATATCAATTAGTTTTTTGGTATAGATAAAAAAAAAAAAAAAAAAAGCACTCTTATACTTCTTCCCTTCTCCGTGCCATCACATGAATTCTTGACAAGATTAGTGAAAGCATGAAATGAATGTTTGAACTTCAGTTAAAAGTGAAACAATCTAAATGTTCATCAACTGATAAATGAATAAATAAAATGTGTTCTATTTATATAATTAAATATTTTATTATTATTCAATTAAAGGAAATGAAATGCTGTCACGACATGGATGAACCTTGAAAACATTATGCCAAATTAAAAGAACCCAATCACAGGGACCATCTAATATATGGTTCCTTTTTTTATGAAATGCCTAGAGGAAGTAATTCTAGAGAGATGGAAAGCAGATTAATTTTTGCCTGGCAGTGGGGAGCAACTGCTAATGGGCATGGGGTTTCTTTTTAGGCTGATAAAAATGTAAAATGGATTATAGTAATAGTTGTGCAACTCTAAAAATACTAAAAACTATTGAATTATGTACTTCGAATGGATGAATTGTATGTCATGTGAGTTATATCCTGATTGTTTTTTAAAAAGTGAATAACTTAAGAATATTTTCACTCATTTCAATAATTATATCTTGCTTATGATTTATTTTTATATTCTGCTTTTTCCTCCCCAAAGCTAAGGAGTCTAAATCCTTCCACACACCAACCATTATAGCAGGTCCACAGAACATCACAACATCTCTGCATCAGACTGTTGTTTTGGAATGCATGGCCACAGGAAATCCCAAACCAATCATTTCTTGGAGCCGTCTTGGTAAGTCTTCTTGGGGCGGTGGGGGCGGGGGAGCGAACGTCTTTTCCTTAAGCTTCATTCATTCTAGTGGAACTATTAAAATGTTTATTTTATATGCAAAACACATGTTTAGCAGTTAATTGGCTTTTAACTTTTCCGGATTTCAGCATGTAGAGGGAAAGTTTTATGATAGGATTGTTTAGAGAGTGATCTTTTGACCTAATTTTAGATAATATGTCGTTTTAACTAAAGTATTCTCTTTGAAATAGATCACAAGTCCATTGACGTCTTTAATACTCGGGTACTTGGAAATGGTAATCTCATGATATCTGATGTCAAGCTGCAACATGCTGGAGTATATGTTTGTCGGGCCACCATCCCGGGCACACGCAACTTTACAGTTGCCATGGCAACTATAACTGTATTGGGTATGCTTTCTTTCATTCTGCAATCAGGAGAAACTTAACGTTTTAACATTTGCTGTTTTAGCTCATTCATAGCTTACTTCTACTTTTCTTGAATTTTATAAGCATTGATATGAAGGTTGATATGAAGTATCGTAATCTAATGATGAATTATAGAAGGAAAAGTTCTATGTTAAAATATAACTTTTTCTGAAGTCACCATCCTGTTTGCTTGCATGACATTACATTTCTTCTTCTTAAAGCTTCCCTCTTATCTCCTTCTCACTTACCCACAAATTCATATACCTATTCGCCAATCTAAAAATTTAATTTGTTGATTGTTTACATGCATTAACAAGGGGCTGTGTATTCGGCTTAGTTAAGTAGGATTATGGTACACATTTTTAGAGTGTTTCTATAGATGGTCTCAATAGGGAATGCCTGGGGGTAGTGGACATATATCTGAGCAATGCAGAGAAAAGACATGTGGATAGAAATATATGTAGTGTATAGACAGGAGGCTCAGAATGTCAAATATTTTCAGAGATGGGACTTGGTCAGTTGTTGTAGTCTTCCTTGACTCCTTGTATCATTCCTGTTGGTACCACAGAAATATTTTTTTTCTTTTTCTTTCTTTTTTTAAATAGCTCCTCCTCTATTTGTTGAATGGCCAGAAAGTTTAACGAGGCCTAGAGCTGGCACTGCTCGATTTGTATGTCAGGCAGAAGGAATCCCCTCACCCAAAATGTCATGGTTGAAAAACGGAAGAAAGATACATTCAAATGGTAGAATTAAAATGTACAACAGGTAGGCTATGTCACTTTGCTACTGTTTTAGATAAGATATAATGGCTTTAGTAATTTTTTGTGTGAAATATCAAGTACTTTAGTTATCTTGGTATTTTAAACTACAGTAAAATAAATAAGAAATTAACCTAAGATTATAACATCAACATGCCATAGATCCTTTTATATGTGAATCATGGGCATGGTTAATTATACTGAAATGAATGTTGGACAGTTCTCCAGACCTGGGTTCTAGTCCTGGTAAGCCACTAGCTAAGTTATTAGCAAGCATATTAATCCTTAGGGAATCTCAGTTCCTTCTTCCATAAATGAGGAAATTAGAAGTTCAAACTTAATGATTTTAAGAACTCATTTTTATTAGTATAAATATAAATTTTCTGTAACATTCATATTTGTTGCACAAAACTAAAATTTTTTGTTGACTTGAATTTTATGTAACATTGCAATATATAAATTATATAAACTAGATGTTATTACAAAGTAATATACTTTCTTAATAAAAACCAACTTTTTAAAAGGAGATTAAGCTGTCATATAAAGCAAATAGGATTTGCGTATCACAAGTATTTACATAGACTCAGAAAATACGAGTAATTTTAAGTAATTCTTATAGATTTTTCATTAGGGCTGATTATACATTTTTTTGCTCTTAGTAACTTTTATTATTTAAAATGAGAGTACATAGCAATAGTTTAACATTTTTTTATATCGTTCTTAGAATTTCTCATAGAAATAAATAATTTATTTCCTTTCCTCAGTAAATTGGTGATTAACCAGATTATTCCTGAAGATGATGCTATTTATCAGTGCATGGCTGAGAACAGCCAAGGATCTATTTTATCTAGAGCCAGACTGACCGTAGTAATGTCAGAAGACCGACCCAGTGCTCCCTATAATGTGCATGCTGAAACCATGTCAAGTTCAGCCATTCTTTTAGCTTGGGAGAGGCCACTTTATAATTCAGACAAAGTCATCGCTTATTCTGTGCACTACATGAAAGCAGAAGGTAAGCAATTTGAAGAGTGTTTATTTTTAAGTGCCACTTGCTGTCAAGGATTTGTTTTCAGTATGAATGATGAGTTATGTAATTCACAAAATATTTTTGAAGTTCTATGGCATTTATCTCTTTTAATAAAATACTTAATATATCACCTGTGTATCTATTTTTGCTAGATTTTGTATTGTTGTATACTTTGTGTATGTAAGGATAGTATATAAGATTTTTCTATCTAGAAATAAGTACCATCTCTGCCAGGTAAAATATAGAGTGGTATACTTACAAATTTCATTTCAGCAAAGATATAAATTCTTTAACTAAGACTTAATATACCAATTAAGTATGCAGTTACAAAGGACCAATGGTATAACAGCTTAATAAAATAATCTAACTATGGTAAACTATGGTCACTATAGCATGTGTTTTTTAAAGGGGAAAGTAAACATTATCAAATTACCCATATGTTTGATTTTATATGTTTTTAATGTTTTTCTGAAATCGTGTAGAACTGTCTGAAATTGAACAAGACATTATTGATATCTCATTATTATCTCATTATATGAAAGTAAAAATCAGATCTGTCTTCAGATTTTTATTCAGAACTATTAGTTCCATTCCTGGAATCTTTTTTATCCTTATATTTTCTTTTGGCAAAGATTTTAGAGGCAAAGGAAAAACTACTTATAAATTCTAGTGATTTCTCTATTGATTTTTCATAGAAACCATAGTAGAGGTTCACAGATTTTTGCTCTGTACACAAACAGCCTAACTTTTATGCAATAGACAGTAAAAATAAATCCAAACACCCAAAGAATGGCGATACAATAAAATTGTCCGTAGAAACAGGTGGTTTGTTGTTGTTTGTTTCTTGTACTTTGAAGTTGTATTTTGAAAAGGAATATTTTGAATTTAAATCAGGGGTCATGGTAGCAAGAAGAATGAAAGTCTGATAACTGAGCATGTTGGAGTATGTTAATTCCCTTTTCAGTGATTTAGGAAGGTAAAAGGAATGCTGGTTTTGGTGGAGACCACTCTTGTTCCCTATTATGGTTGTTTCATTAGAGCCTCCACATGCGGCTCAGTGGTCTATTCAGGGATGGAACAAGGCTTTTTAATTCGAACTTAAGGACCTTGTTTGGTAGGTCAGAAATCGTACTATGCAGTCCCTAATTAACGAGCCATTAGCCAGTCTGTTGTGAAATGCCTCTAATCTTGTCTAATTAAAATGCTATCAAGTTAATTCAGAAATGTGGGAAAACTTAATAGTGGAATTTGCCTTCTGTTTTGTTTATAAATTGGGTGTGGAGAGAAGGGGCTCTGTCCTGAGAGAGTTTTGATTAAGCTGCCGTGCGTTTACTGTGAATTGTTCACAAAGCACAGTAGCCACCAATGCTCTTGTTCCACTTTACAGGTTTGCTCTGTAGGAATTAAATCCCACAAGACAAGTCCTCTTCTATACCTTGCCATGCATATTTTAATTAACAATTGCTGAGAATTTTTTTCCTCTTTGAAAAAAAAACTCACTGTGAAACAAAGCTTTTTGAAGCATATTCTGTGCCTCCCAGTTCTTTTGCTTTCAATATAAATAAAAGAATAACTTGTGTTAGTCAAATTTAATAAAATCTCTAGAGGCAAAATGAAATCTTTTGCAGGACAACTTTTGGGTGGTTTTGTTTTTGTAAAGAGTAGAGCCATTATATTCCCTGCAGTCTCTCCATTTATGTTTAAAAGAAAAAAGAAGCCATAAGTTTAAGCACGTAAAATTTACACTGTTAAGAATTACAGTATTCTGCAGCGTTAAGCTCTATTGTGTTACTGCTGTTTATTGTCTCTGCTGTGGATTTTGACTAGATGTTAAATGAAATTTAGAGAAGATTAATTATTTTCAGTTTGATTTATTCAGGAAAAATATGAACAAGTAATTTGTAGCAAGACATACTTACTTTTAGAGAATAAGGACCTTCCTATTCACATTTTTTAAGGGGTCACACAAGAGAGTAGCCTCAAGGACTAATGTTTAATAGTGAGAGAAAATGGTCTTGCTAATTTTATTTTGAATATTCATATTTTTAAACACTGATTCTTTAATCTAGGCTTAAATAATGAGGAGTATCAAGTAGTCATTGGAAATGACACAACTCATTATATTATTGATGACTTAGAACCTGCCAGCAATTATACTTTCTACATTGTCGCATATATGCCAATGGGAGCCAGCCAGATGTCTGACCATGTGACACAGAATACTTTAGAAGATGGTAAGAAAACATGAATCTAGTTCATTTAAGTATGAACATTAATATGTGTAGTCCATTTCAATAAATAAATGTGTTTTAAATTAGAAAAAATACCTTCTTTTTGGTTTAAAAAACAGGTATAGTAATCAGCAGGCTAATCTGCCATTTCAGATCTGACTCTTGCTTTTTGACAGTAATAGGATAAAACTAAAGGAAACTTTTATTTATAATTTACAGTATAAATTTAAATAATAAAATTCTTGTATTGTTGAAATTCTTCAAGTATCCTAGTCTAAACTGTAAAGGCATTGCTGTGTGTTTGCGTGTGTATATATATATTGTTGTTTGTTGTTACTGAGTAAATTCTCTAGGCATGAATAAATATAATGAGAGTAACATATCGAGTGTATGCAATGACTGGGGGTCAGAGGTATTAGACTTCTGAAAGTCAATTAAAAAATTTTTTATAAAATCATATAGTAGTTAGTTTATTTTTAGATATAACAACACTTATTCTACTTAAGGAGGAAGATAATACATGTTCAGTTTGTTACCTAACCATGGGCTGGGAACTAAGTTGTGGCAGGCCTCCATATACTGTATTGGTGGGACATTCCATTTATTAAGACAGTCCTGGAGAACTGATTCTCTTCCTCTGACTCTCATCTCTCTTTCTCCCTCCAGGGGTTCTAGAAGGCCTATGTTTATGTTCTGCAATGTAAAAAGGGAATTATTTAACATGCTTAATTATAATAGTCTCCCTTTACAAATGTTTTCTCATCCTCAAGAAGTGGTCCACCCTTAGTTTTCAAAACATTTTTCTATAAATGATTCCCAATTCTTTTTTTTGTTCATTTGGTCCCATATCTCTTACTTATATCTCTGTAATGCCACTTACTTAGATGTTTATAAATTCCGAGTTTGATTAAATGAAAGAATTAATGATCTGGATACTGAATTCCAAACCTCAGTTTTACTCTAAGAGCCCATCCCATTTTAGAGTGAGCCACTGTACATAGGACCTTCCTGGTTATCTCATTACATTTAATAACCTCTGACGTGCATGCTCAAGGTGAAACACAAGCTGGTGTTTTGCGTTTTGTTTTGTTTTTTGCATTTTTGCTTTTTAAGATGTGTATGTGTGTGTGTGTGTGTGAGTGTGTGTGTGCGCGTGTATGTGTACGAGGTGTATTCATACACACACACCTCATATCCTTGAAGGAAATGGATCTAAGCAATAGCAAGCTTTGATTATGATCTGAAAGTTTTCTCCTTTAAGCCTTTCTTTACTCTGCAACATTTTTATTTAATGAATTTTGTTTTCTGGATAACATACAGATCTCTGACACTGCTATTCAAATTTCTGCACAAGTCTATCCCCATTTCCTAAGCTCATATTTCTCACAGATGTGTGTTTCTCCTAAGTTGCACAGAAGTGAACAGCCAATACAGTGATCACTTATGGAGCATTTTATGCCTGTGCCTATTCTAAAAACCTTTCCTCATTATCTCCTTTAATCCCTACTGTAATCCTACCATAGAAAGACTATTGTTATGTAAGAGATTGTAAAGTACTGGAGATGACAATGTGGTCTTTGTCTACTCTGCCTCGATCTGTTCCTTCGCTTACAAGTTGTGTGAACTTGGGCAAATGATTTGATCACTTTGTGCCTCAGTTTCCTCAACTAAAAGGTAGAAATGGTGATGGTACTTCTTTCATTCGGTTTTTGTAAGAATTCATGAGTTCATACACATAAAGGACTCAGAAATGCTTAATAAATTTTCTCTTTTCCACCTATTTCATTCAACAAATATTTATTGAGTACCTGCTATGTGTTATTCAATATTTAGTAGTGAACAACAGGCAAAACATCGTCTCTGACCTCATGAAGCTTACTTTCTAGTGGGAGAGGAGGCAGGGGAACAATTAACATGACAGACGTTCGTGTTAGATAGTGATAAGTGTTGAGGAGAAGGGAAAGGAGCAGAGAAGGGGAGTATAAAATATTGGGAGAGTTTGAGACTTTAGAAAGAGTCACAAAGAAGGGCTCACTGAGTAGCTGACATTTGAATGAAGACCTGAAGGAAAGGAAAATGAGGGAGCTGGCTAGGCAGATGACTGGGGAGTGTGTTATAGGCAGAAGAAGTGGGAATGTCTAAGGGCCTGAAGCACAGGTGTGGCTGGTGGGGAGGGAACAAGTGGAAAACAGTAGATGAGACAGACAATTAATGGGTGCTGACCATATAAATAAATAGGGCTTTTTATGAAGCCGTGGTGGAAACTTTGGCTTTTACTTTGAGTGAAATGGGTGCTATTTTGAGCAGAAGAGTGGCATTATGTAGCTTGCATTTTAAAGCTAGTGTGTTCAGAATTGATGGAAGGAACAAGGATTGAAGCAGGGAAATCTCCTAGGAGGCTGTTACAGCAATATATGCTAACGGTGGTGGTGACAGGACCAAAGGGGTGGCAGTAGAAGTCTCAGAGACAAAGAATTAAATATGGAGTGTGTTTGGAGGAGTCAAGGATGACATCAAGGTGTTTGGCTTCAGCAGCTGGGAAAATAATTGCCATTAACCGAGATAGGAAAGACTGTAGAAGGAGCTTTTATTATAATCTCCATTTTATATAGGAAGAAACACAGAGAAGTTAATTTGGCCAAGATCACACACAACAGTGAGTGGTAGAACAAGGATTCAAACACACAGAGGCTAACTCCAGAACCTATCTTAACTCAGTCTAGACTGCCTCCTACTATACTTGACTCATTTTCCTGGAGTGCCAGTTTTATTTAAATTATTTAGAGGAAAAACATTGTTTTCATAATAAGCATCATATATTATAATCGAGAATTCACACTAATTTTTCAGATATCACTCTTACATTTCAAAGTATCTTCTCCGGGTTATAACCCCAGTGTCCCAAGCTTCCCCACTCCTCCTGTATAATTCTCTCTTTCCTGTTTCTGAGGTATTTTGGTGGGAGTATTTGAGATGTATTCTCATATTTTATATGAGTATTAAGTAATTTCATATTCATCCCAAACAACAACAGTGACAACAACCCTGCTTTCTTTGGCTCCCTATCTATGCTTGGTGCTCCCTCATTATTTTTTCTTCTTTTTTCTGGTTTGTACTTTGAAAACCTCTGCTTGGGTTGAAAATGTCTCTTCCTATGTTATGTGTTGCTGTTAAGATAATTCAATAAATACTAGTGTGCTGATTGACAATTTAATTCTAAATATTTACCAGCAACCTGTTTTCCTATATGACTAGTTCCCCTGAGACCTCCTGAAATTAGTTTGACAAGTCGAAGTCCCACCGATATTCTCATCTCCTGGCTGCCAATCCCAGCCAAATACCGGAGGGGCCAAGTGGTGCTCTATCGTCTGTCCTTCCGCCTAAGCACCGAGAATTCCATCCAAGTTCTGGAGCTCCCTGGGACCATGCATGAGTACCTTTTGAAGGGCCTGAAACCTGATAGTGTCTACCTGGTGCGGATTACTGCTGCCACCAGAGTGGGGCTGGGAGAGTCATCAGTATGGACTTCACATAGGACACCCAAAGCTACAAGCGTTCAAGGTAAATTTCTAAAGATGATCAAGGAAGAATAATACTGTATTTATACTTTCGAATCAATTTTTCCTCAAGTTATGTTTATATTTTTAAATTTTGTTTTATGAATAAAAATATTTCATAGATCATGGACTTAATTGAAAAAAAAGATTTAAGTTTTTACTGAGTAGTCCCTTTTTGCAATAGAACTCATTAGTGTGTAGAACTTTTGGTTACACTATTAGTGTGCTTAGCAAATCCTTCATGGTCAGATCAGTCCAAATTAAAGTGAATTATCGAAAGACATGTATACACACACATACATGTTAATAGAGACTTAATTAGTATTGTCACTATTTGTTTTTTAAAACATCAGTTTAATTGAAAGACCATAAGACTGGGAAGTTCTTGACCTCCCTCTTTTACTAATGCGGAATGTAATATGACTGGTTTTGTTGTTGTTATTGTTAATTGATTAATAATGATGCCTGTTCATCACAGAGGAATATTGGATGCTTAAAATTAGAAAGTACTGCCTTTTGAAAAAAATGTAGATTTTTTTTGTTCTTGTTTATATGCCTTAGTCTTTTAAGGTAGCATTTCCTATATTTAATCCTGTCTTGAATTTTAATATCATTGTGAAATTTTAAAGTTTAGGTTGCAGTATAATTGTTGGAATTGAACTTTTTTTGCAACCATTGGCTTAAGACTGAGAGATGTATACTCTCCTACAAATTCATGTGGATTGTAAGTTTTTTATACATATATTCCCGGTGAATTTTTCTAGCCCCTAAATCTCCAGAGTTACATTTGGAGCCTCTGAACTGTACCACCATTTCTGTGAAGTGGCAGCAGGATGCTGAGGACACAGCAACCATTCAGGGCTACAAGTTGTACTACAAAGAAGAAGGGCAGCAGGAGAATGGACCCATTTTCTTAGATACCAGTGACCTTCTCTATACTCTCAGTGGTTTAGGTGAGTGAGCCTGTACTGTACTTTTCCTTTTTCCCTTCCTCTCTAACCAATTGGGAGAAGAGTTATTGGATGCAGGCCTGTAGCAGTGACTTAATAGTAAAAAGAAAGGAGTTGACTTTATAAGTGTGCGTCCTACTGCTTAAGTCAATGACTGGTCGTTGACTCACCGTTATGAGTGAACTGGCAAAATGTCAGATAACTGTGGTATCTTTCTTTTTCCCACCTCTGAGCATCTACCTTTCTTTCTAAAGTTCACTTCTGGTAGAGTGAGATCCTGATCAATTATTGTGGGTGTGTGGTAGATGTAGAATAGGAATGTAAAATGGGAATACATAATAATTAAGTTTAATTAGAAATTGCTTGAGAGTTCTATGAGGTATATTTTTTTACTTGTGTAAAATATATCTAAATTATGTACAAAATAATGCTCTTACATATGTCCCATGTAACTATAAATGTTTACTTTATGTAGCTCTAACCAGAAACACTAGAAAAAAAGCACTTTGTGTTTGTGTTCATCAGAGTTCTGAAAGACACTGTTGTATTCTCTGTTCACTTTATCTTTGCTGAGTGAATTTCATGATGTATATCATGTTTAACAGAAAGTAAAGAAATTTATATCTACAATAAATATATGAGTATAGAAGATACATAATCAAGGTATAAGAAGTAAACTAGCTTTTTGTTGCTCATGCATAGATTTTCACCCTTAAGTATGAAGCAGCAACTTTAATTATGGTTACCAAACAAATTCCTGCTTGTTACAGCACCTTCTGCACATATTGGACTTCACAAAGCACTCTGGTTTCCCTGTCACAGACTGCCCTTTGGAGTGCTGTAGAGGAAGAAGTACAGTGGTCCAACCATGGGCTGCTCCGTTTCCTTCCCTAGCCTCATGGTAGCACAAGCTGTGAGAACAGCATGACATGAGTCCCTGTGCAGTAAGAAGCAGTGATGGGAATCTGTTTTCACATGCAGGGACATAGAGCCCCATCTTTGCCATAGTATTCCAGATGGCATTTTGCTTTTAATCTTATTGTGTCAGATTTTAATTTAATTGCATCTGGTTAAATAAGTTTTATCATTGATCTCTGTCACAGCTTTATAAACGACAAGTTACATATGTTCCACGGTCACCTTGTTTAAACCATTGATACTAAAATGATGTTGCTCAACCTACTGTCACCAAAGTCAGCAACATTTATTTCTGGCCATGGCTTCTCAGTGTGCTCTCCCTTTCCATATACATATCATTTATTCAAGAAATTTGTACTCAGTATCAAGCAAGAAACAGAATTTGTGACAAATGTTGATGAAAAACCATGTATCAGACTCACTGTTTAGGAAATATAAATATGTTGAAGATAGAAAAAAATAGCTTCACTCTTCTTAAACATACAGGTAGCTTATTCTAAACAGGTGAATAATTTATTAGAAGAAAAAATAATGTTCTGATTGTCGAAAGATTAAAGAAGCAATTAAAACTGGCAATGAAAAGCAGTTCTTTAAAATTTAAAAATTTTCTACAGATGCATATATAAGGAAGAAGACACACTTCCTTATATGATCTTTGTTGAAATATTTTATAATCTCTAAATAATAGCTTTTAGTACCATAGACCTTTATTTCTTCCTATGTTTGAAAAATAAGTTACATGCATAGTGTCTGTGTTGTAATATCCTTTGTGTTGTAAAATCCTTTGTGTATGCTATTTTGGATAGTTCAGCTTAAAATCACTTTATAATGCATAAACTAGGAAATGGTTTTGTTGTAGTCGGTATACCCTGTCTATTAAAATAGGTCAATATTTCTTGACTGTGGAATTAGACTGACTGGTTGGACTAATTGCAGTGCAGGGTAGCAAAGGACTCTGTCCCAACTACAGGGCTTTCTTGTTGGGCAGTAGTTTCCTCACCCCAGGAATTGCCGAGTCTCGGCCTAAACCACTGGCAGGGATGCAGTTGTGTGGATTCAAGCATTGAATGGCAGTTGACTGGATCACCTTTAAGATGCCTTTTAATCTTGAGAGCCTTAGGGCCTAGTCTTGCTTTTCTAGAAAGTCACTGTTGGAGCTTAGCCAAGCTTATAGCAAACGAGTGGGTTTAACCCTGAGGCAAGTGTTAACAGCTCTCACTCCTTTCCTTCTTACTTTTGGCTATTGAGAAGGAAGTATGTTCTTTTAACTGGACAACTGACCATCTGTGACCATTTTTAGCAAGAGCATCTGGTGGTAGCTGCCTGTTTAACAGAGAGTGATGTGTCTAGAGGGCAGTAGGTTAAGGGAACCCTATCTGTGTCCTTCATGGTGAATACTTGCTTTCACTGAGCTTTTGCTCATTAAAGATACTCTAACTGTAACTAGATTTACTAAGTGAGCTTGGAAGTGAAATTTAGATGCCTCTGTTTGCTGATTCAGTGTAAACTTGAGTAGCAAACTGATGTCTCAAAATTTCATTTTCATACTAATCTCCTTTCTGATGCCCTGATACACATTCTTCTGTTTCTACTTCTGGTAATTAAGTTTTCAGTTAAAAAAAAAAAAGTATGTTATTAGGACACATTTTCCTTTGTTCTTTGTTTCTGAAAAAGGTGAATGTATTTTATATATTTCAATTCATTTAACATGCATTTTTTTTCTGAGTAGGGCATTGTAGTACTAGATAAAAAGATATAACAGATATGACCTCTACTTAAAAGAAGAAAGATTAAACCAAAAGATGTTAAGTTGACTGACTTGTTCATGTTTCTCCTAAATTCCAGATTAACAAACTTTAATTGCACTTAATAATGAAAGTTATTTTAGAACGTTTTACTCTATACCCTCAAAGCTTTGTTTCCTGAGATGTAGAATGTTATGTTTTTTAAAGTGGCTAAAAATATTCTTATGTTTTTATTAGTTTTTATAGTATGAATATTGGCAGAGAAATGGAAGTATTTTGATGTTGCTAGTTTGTTCTAGTTTAATGATTTTAAAAATATATGATTTAATTTTAATTAGAAGTGGTTAACTTTTTTTAGGAGATAAATATTAGGCTTGTGATTTAATAGTTATATGATCTGTTTTAAATTGTGGCTTGAGGTTTTCCTCAAGATTTTATATCTTTGTAGTGATAATTTTCACTTAATTTTTTTTCTTGGCACAGTCAATGTTTAGCCCAGTTAGAGTAGAATTTTAAAATGTTTGTTATATTTATCACACACTAAACTGAAAGCAAAATTAATAACACACTTGTGTCCCCTGATAATAGACTGATTGAAATAATTTGTTGCTCTTTTTTTATGTTTATTTCAGAAATTGGCTTCAGATTCTGAAGTTAGTTTTTAATTGCAAAAGGACTATTTTCAGATGCTGACTCTGAAACTGTTCTTAATTGTTCAGTCTTTATATAAGAGAGTAAAAAGGGGGAGATTAGATGGTACTGTTGTTAGTTTAGCATTTGGAGCACTGATATTAGATAATCTTTAGCTTCTTTTTTGCATAAGAACTTACACTATTAAATTTCACAACAAATACGATTAGTGAACATGAGGTTTAAAATCAGTTATAAAGATCAAAAATATTTAAAATCATTAGTAATGTTTGTAGCCCACTTGCATACCTTCAAAACTCACAGATCTTTGTTTGTTTGAGAAATCCAAAATTGAATCTCTCAGTTACTGCTGGGAGCAGGAGTCAAAAGAAATAGTCCCTGGTTAATAATATAACTTTAGAGCCCCTTAGCCAGTTTGTATGGAAACATGGTAAAATTAAATCAGATTTCTGAGTGTTATCTTTCACCATAATATAATAGGATTTGGTCGTGTGGTTACATAAGTCAAGAAAGAAAATCAAGAACTGCCACTGGTGAATCAAACTGATATAGCTGGACAGAGTTTAGTCAAGACAGGATAAGATTTTTGTGGTATGAAAGAGATTACTTTTATTAGAGAGGGTTCATTGTGAACATTACTATAATAGCGATTTTGTTTTGAAGAGAATTAGAATCATTGAATATATGAAATATGGAAGTCACGTTTTAAGGCAAGCCAAAGTCTTTTCAGAGACTGTGTTCTCTCATCTCTGTCACACAAGGAAGCCTTAGATAACACTCAGAAGATCTTCGGAAACATCCTGCAGGTGAAAATTCTGATATTATGGTTGTTTCGCAACTTCCTGACTGTCCCTCTTAAGACAGAGTCAAAAATCACTATTTTTTATAACAAAATCTTCCTAATCTTGAATAATTTCAAGTGTATCTTTCTATGCTGACTTTTAACCTATAACTTCATTTCAGATAATCTGGTGCCTTCGTATCAACTACCGGTTCAAATATTATTATAGATACAGGATTCTATTTTATTCTATCCCAAAGTAACATATAATTAACACCATAAACATCACTAAGCTTTCTGTCCAGATTAGCTTTGACTTTATAAAGCAGTGTTGGTTTCTGTGAGAGATCACTTTGCATTTTTTGTTAACAGATCATTGTTAGGGTTGGTGTAAAATTTCCATTAACATTATTTATGTCATCTGCTGTCATTTAGTGCAGGTAAAATCTTTAGGGACATACTTCACATTTTTTGCCTATCTTCAATTCTTCCTGTGCTTTACCAGTTAATTTTCACTTTTAGTAGAAATAGTTCCTCTGAGCAGTGTCTGATTGTACTCTTATTTGTTCCTTTCAAAGAATTGCAGAATAAATTTATTTAACTGAAGTTGGTATACTTCTTAAAAATATTCTCATGTTTTGATTTTGGAAACAACTTACTATGTAGGCCATAAAACTGAATAACAAAGTGTTAGTACAAATGATAACAATATAAAGGGATCATTTTTTAAAACATTTTTTACATCACTATGAAATATCTTTTGTTACCCTTTTTATGTATGTTTAATCTGTTAGCAAGCAAAAACATGTTGAAATTTCAACACATTCTTAGGGAATACTCAACTATTTTTCCTAGTTTTTCAAGAGGGCAAAAATTTTTTGAATATTTTATTCTCTACAGTCTGAAAA